CAGTAAAACACAAAAGACGGATGATCACTGTCCCTCCCTCCGTGAGAGCAGATCTCCGACACTGGGGAAACACCCTGGTTCTGTCAGAGGGAGTCCCCGTCAGCAAACCCTCGTCACACGTGTCAGTCTTCACGGACGCGTCGCTGTCAGGCTGGGGGGGGGACATGCTTATCTCAAGCAGTAGGGGCGCTGTGGCCCCACCACACATCAGCCCACATCAATGTTTTGGAGTGTCGCACAGTGCTGAACGTGATTCAGCATTTTGCTCCCGTGCTACAGAATCAACACGTGTTGATTCACACAGACAACATGGTGACTGCTGCGTACATAAACCGCCAGGGGGGTGTGCGTTCAGCCCAGATGTTACACATTGCGCGGAAGCTACTGTGTTGGGCTCACCAAAATCTGCTTTCCATCAGAGCGGTCTACATACCCGGCGTTCTGAACAGAGGAGCAGATGTGATGTCCAGGGGCGGCCCACGTCACGCGGACTGGACCCTCTATCCAGACCTGATGTTTCAGACGTGGCAGAAGTTTGGCAAAGCAGCTGTGGACCTGTTTGCGACGCGAGAGAACGCTCAGTGCCAATTATGGTTTTCCCTGAGCCCACGAGACGATCCTCCGCTGGGGGTGGATGCATTTGCTCACAGCCCGTGGCCCAAAACGCTTCTGTACGCGTTCCCCCCTCCTCCTCTGATTTTACGGTTCCTGAACCGAGTTCAGGAGGAAGGATTGACAGCTCTCCTGGTAGCTCCCGAGCGCGTGAACGCACCATGGTTCCCAGTCCTGCAACGTCTGTTGTCGGGTCGTCCGTGGAAACTGCCATGGAGGGAAGATGCTCTCCTTCAAGCAGGAGGAGCGCTCAGGAGTTACCCGGAAATAGGCCAGCACCTGTGGGTCTGGCCGCTGAGCGGTCCCGCTTAGAGAAGATGGGTCTCCCTCAGGAGGTAGTGCGCACAATTCAAGATTCACGCGCTGCATCTACCACAGCCCTGTACACATCAAAGTGGACGGCCTTTCAGCGCTGGTGTACAGAGAAAGGTTTGGAGGCCACCTCATGTCCATTAGGCGGCGTGCTGTCCTTTCTTCAACAGCTGATGGATAGGAAGTTGGCATTCAGGACGATTAAAACGTACGCTGCAGCCATCTCTTCCTGCCACGAAGGGTTCGGAGACAGAACAGCTTTTAATCACCCGCTAATGAAGCGGTTTCTAAAAGGTGTACAGAGACATAGGCCGGTTTCACGCCCACTCGTTCCACAGTGGGATTTAACACTGGTCCTGCGAGCCCTGATCAAAGCCCCATTTCAGCCTATATACCAAACCCAGCCTTTATGCCTAAAAACATCACAAGCTCTTTTAAATCGAGACAGATATCGTTGGAGGGATTCTTCCCTCCCCCCCACAGATCAGAAGAAGAAGCATCTTTTCATCTTCTCTGTCCGGTGCGGGCGTTGTCGTGTTACATAGCGCGCACAGCTGCGATGCGTCAAACTCAACAATTGTTTGTGCATTATAGAGATGCATCTGTAGGTCGCCCGTTATCCACCCAGCGCTTGTCACACTGGCTGTGTGAGGCCATTTCTGAAGCCTACAGAGCATCAGATCTAGAGCGTCCTGTCAACCTCAAAGCACACTCAACCAGGGGTATCGCATCTTCGATTGCTCTGCATAATGGTATGTCAATGCAGGACATTTGCACTGCGGCTGCATGGTCAACACCCTGCTCATTTATTCGCTTTTACCTACGTGATGTAACGGCTCGTTCCATGACACATTCTGTCCTTAGTGCTCTAACAGAATGAATATTGTCGTTTTCTTCATGGAACTTTGTTTAAACTCACATCTGTCTGCATGCTTCACAGTGTGAGATGTTGTTATCAGCCACAAGTTTTGTCTGTGATTTTGGTTCTATTGTCACTAATCAGTTCATGACTATTGTTACCAATCAGTTCATTTGTTCAATAATCAGTTCATTGATATTAATCTGTTTATACTGTTCAATCATGAACCAGTTGCTTCATGCCCCCCCCCCCCCCCCTCTTTTCAACATCTTCTCCCCGTTGAAAGTTTTTTCCGGGGCGTTCACGCTTTGTCAGAACGCATAGTTACACAACATGCGTCTGTGCATGGCACACAATTACGCGATGCGTAGTTATGCACATGGGGAGCTGAGTGACAAGACGTTTTTTGGGCAAGCTTCCGCTTCTTACTGTGTTCGAATGGGCCAAGTGAGGCGAGGACCACATCCGCTTCGCCCTTAACCCATCAGCGACAGCCTTAAAGGGCGAAGCCTATATGAAATAGAACGTTGGTTACGTACTGTAACCCCAGATTCTATGAATATAGGCGTAGCCCTTTAAGCGTCGGGCCTCACTGGCTCCTGAATAGCTGAAGAAAAGAATAAGCTATTTGGGAGCAGATTACCCGCTCTTAATGTAATTTATACGGATCGGGTGGGGCCCACACAGCAGGTGGGCGTGGACTAATTTTTTTCAGTATGATGCTTGCGCATAACGGGATAAACCCATCAGCGACAGCCTTAAAGGGCTACGCCTATATTCATAGAATCTGGGGTTACAGTACGTAACCAACGTTTTTCAGTGCGCGGCCCTGAGGAGGGACATTATTTGGAGAGGAGGAGGAGACAAGGTCTCCGCGCAGCACCTCTGTGCATAAATGTGACCATCTGATCCATCCTCACTCCACCCCACCTAGAGACTCCTTTCCTGCTGGTGAGCCGTGTGTGCTGCGGCTGGAATATCCACAGACTGGGTCCACCAGGCTGAGGGCAACGTCTCTTCTCGTTATATTTAATAAATAATCAAAATAAAAATGTGCGATGACTTTGAACTTTTAGGGGTGGAGTTGACGGATCTTAGGAAAGAATTGCCGGAACAGAACGGGTCAAAATGAGAGAGTTCCCAGATCTTGTTCCGACAGGATCTGGCTCAAATTAACCACTGTGTATCACATGTGGCGCAAACGACAATAAAGTATCTCTGACTCTGATGCTACTGGGCTAGTAGTGCTGCCACCTACAGTCCAAATTATGAACTACAGTGTAATTGCTTTTTAAGGTCTTCCCAAATTAGCAACTCGGTGTAGGAACTTTTTGCATGTTAGAGTGTGCAAGTGATTTGACGAACACCAGTTTGTTTGGACATGAGGTCTTTACTGATGAAATGAAGACAACTACAGTCTGTACAGTATTCACAGCAGTTAAGGCGGAGTTAATGGGGACATTTCATGCGTACTGTACAACAAATCGCACCAAAGTTACAAAAAGGTGTGTTACATCAAAAAGTTCAACAAACCTGAAAAGAAGTCACATAAAAATAAATTTGCTCCCAGTCAGAAAAATACAAAAGTGTGAGTTCAGAACATTTTTTACCATTGATATAAAAAAGGAGATAAAACATAAAAACAAAGCACCACCACTGCTTTCTGCTCAGCAAGCACAGATATTTACTGCGTCACAACTTGGAGCTAAAAACTGCTTCATTCTGTCACTTCAAATGTGATTTTAGATGTCCTCAGAAACTAAAAAGATATAAATACAAACATTAAAGTGCAGAATCAATCAGGAAACTGTTGCTTTTATTGCATTTTCCTGAAACGCTGAGACTGAGCCAGAATCTGTGGAAGATGAGTCAGATCTGTGAAATGAGCAGCTCTCCGAGTTTCTGTTCACGTTTTGTGTTTTAGCCTCCTACAGAGGTGCTGGACCCTGATTCTGATCTGTTTTCTTTAATTAAATCAATTCAGCATCAACACAGTAAATATGCTGTTCTTCCTCTGCTTGAACCAAGAATAAAAATAATACTGTCAGCAAAAATTAAAGCTCTTAGTTACTGTGGGAGGAAACCGGAGTACCCGGAGAAAACCCACACATGCACGGAGAGAACATGCAAACTCCAGCCAGAGGGGCCCCCGAACCGGGATTTGAACCAGGGTAACCTGCTCGCTGAGAGGCAGCAGCTCTACCAGTTGCGCCACCGTGCTGCCCTAATCCTGAAAAACATGATACACTGTGTAAAATGTAAAAAATAAAAATGCACATCTTATGCTCACTAATATACCAACAGTGGAACATAAGAAACATCAAATGTTCAAACGAAGAA